CTTTATTTCATGTCTCACTCTACTAACTTTTCCCACAAAACACGTATATTTGGCTTCTTTTCATTTAGTTTCATCCTCCAATATTCGCCATATTTCATAATGATTTTATTGAGGTATCCATTTGCTTCAAGATCCATCTCACTTATCAAAGACCCTATCATCACAGGGATTTTTAAGATGTAATAGAGAAAATACGTAGCTTAGATGGGTGATTTTGAATTGGTTGAGTTCTTAGAGTTGGGTGATTTAATTTTAGCAAAGTTTGCACTAAATATGTTGTCTCTAAGGAAAAATGAAAGCCTTGCAGTTGAACAGCTCAGCTCACAGAACATAACCGCATCAAAAATGTAGCTTAAATATTCAAAGTCATTTGTGTCTTTACTTTTTAAACACTAGTGCAGGCGAAACAAAAATCAGTAAAACCACTGATAACATTTCAGAGTAAATCGTTCATCTTAAATAAAACAAAATAGTTAATAACGAATAAACGGCAGAAAAGATAGACACAAAATGAGAAAAACATTATAACAATAATAACAGGCAAAAGAAAACTGAAAGAATTCAACGTTACATTCACTAAAAAGCGTAAGGACAAAAAACCGAAAAAGCATAAGTTACTTTTTTTATCTAATTTCCCTTGACAATAAGGAAACAGTGAAGTATACATATAAAAAGAATACATTAACATCACTAAGCAGTTTTTCGGTTAGCCTTAAAGCATATGAATGATGACAGTCTTTTCTCTTTAACATTGATCAAAGAACTTTACAACTATTATCACATGCTCTATTGAAACATTGAACATCAGTTGTTTCAATTGAAGATGTTAGATAAAACGAAAGGAGAAAGAGTTTTAAATTAATGGATGAATTATTAAAAACAACTTTTCATACGGTTAATATTACGAAAAGACACATGAGGACACTTACATCTTTACAAAATAAATTTATGTTCATTATTACTACATAAGTATGAGGTATTACTTATTGAGATAACAATTACACAAGAAGCAGATATTATGTGATAATGTTAGATAATATATTAAGGGATGAAATACTAAACGATCCATTTCTTACTAATATTACAACTAAAAATAAGTTAAATTCTCAAAATTCGTTTGTTGACCACTACAATAAATAAGTTATCAAATAAATTAGTTTCAGTAATACTGTCAATGACTCCAACGATAAAAACTGATTCTTAAAATTCAAGGATAGTTATCGCTAGTGAATCAGACAGTCACAAAAGTTCAGCTTCGGGTTTTGTATATTTTGTTTTCTGCTGATTAGAATTCATGAAAATTTTAAGGAAAATGGTAGGAATGGTCAAGATAATTCGTTTTAACCTACTATTTCCTATTCTGTAGAATAATAGCTTCAACAAAACAAAAACGATAAATTGAGCAAGATAACATTATTATTATTATCCTAAGTGGAGCATAGGGTCTTAAAAGCACATCTGGATTTTTTCCAGTTACCTGCAGTCCTCTTTAGCCGGCTCCACGACAGCTTATAGGCTCTCATCTCCTCCTTTATGTCACCTTCGGCTTCAAGGCTAACAGCACAATTCCACTCAACGGTCTTCTCAGACTGTATCCGGTCCATCTCCATTTTCAACAGCCTATTTTTTGAACAATACGTCCTTGCTTAGTTGTTTCTCAAAGTCTCTTGTTGCTGATTCTTTCTGGTCATGTGAACTTCAGTTTAGATCTAACGAAGACAACTGGTGATAAAAGTCTGCAGCATACCGTGGTATGCCATGTTTTCGACCTATATAGACGAACCGGATGACTTGACACTGGTGTTGGAAATCCGATTGCTTTTTCTCTTCATATTGAGTGTATCAGATTTCCAAACTGATTTCAGATTGGTGAAGGTCTGTCTTACCTTTCCGATTCTGGTTTTGACATCTTTATCCGTGCTGTCGCTTGTAACTGAAACAATGTAGCCTACATGAGTGTAAGTGGAGACCTCTTTCAAATTTATTCCGTTCACAGTGACTGGTGCTTATTGTTTTTGGTGGTGGTTATCTTTATCACCTCCCTCCTCCCTGTGTTCACCTGAAGTCCTGCCTTTGCTGCAGGATAAAATGTCGTCATTTTATTTTGTCAGTCTTTTTCAACTGCTTATAACCTCAAACAATTTTGATATCAGAATATGAAATATTTAAATACTTTAGTTAATAATCATGAATGTGAAGGACAGTAACACTGTGTGATTAAATAGCATAATAATAGAAAGGAATAGAAGTTGCTGTTAAGCTTGTTGGTATATAAAGATGTATTTACAAGGACATTCTAGAATTAGGGACGAATACTGAAAATTGACGAGGTGTAAAAGATTACAACACATTTACTTGAGGGTTAAACACTTTACCTGAACAGAGGTCGAAAAAATACTCCGACCGAGTATAGATAAATTGAAAATTAAGGATATAAATTACATAGTCGAAACTATAAAAATAATCGAAGGAATTAATGAAAAAGTAACGAAACCAAAATAACAAAATGTGCTCATCATGGTAAGGCGATATTAATGGCATTCACTTTCTGAATGCATAGATTCGGTTTTAACCGTTTCATGCCAACTGCTTTACTGATACGTAGTAAACAGGATCTGCCTTGAACTTCAATTATCTTAAATGTTTTTAATACATCAATTTCAGGTGACAAGCAATCACACTGCTAGAAACTTTCGTAAATTTCAAACAAAAGTTTCGTAGAATTTGTTCAGATATGCACTCACAAACAATTCTTCCCTTTTGTCCAAAGTATGTGCTTTGGCACGTACATGTAAATTGGCATATGCTGTTTAAGGTAACACAAAATAGGGACATTTCAAGCCTAGATTGATACAGTATACAATTTATTTGGTAAATGTGTAATAACCTGACAGCGAAATACGGTCATTTGAGGGCGGTATTTATTCTGCATTCAATTCTTCTAGATACTTCATCACCTTTGAATCAAAGCTTCAGCTAACAACATTCGTCCCTGATTCTAGAATATTCTTGCAATTACTTCTGTAAATACTAACTAGCTAAGCAATAACTTTGATTCCCTTCAATAATGCCATTTAACTACGTGATATTAATGTTCCTCACATTAAAGATGAATAAATTATTTAAATATTTGGTTTATTGATATAAATTTTCTTTATCCTGGTAGGTTTTCCAGTTCTTGTTTTATTTGAGTTCATTAAGGGAAACAATTATACTCAAGATAATGGCTGTGTAAGTCGGAGGTTCAACCGTAGATACTCGCCAGCCATACACACGATTCGATACCCTGCCGACAGGCTCGTAAAACTCGCATAGCTCGTGGTGAGACAGGTAAAGAGTAAGTGTTGGGTCTGAGGCTGGCAAACTTACTCTGTGAAAAGAAACACCATCGCCATTGAAACTTTACAGCTCTAGCTTGAAACCCTGTGTCCCACCTGGAACACAAAAGGAATACAATTTAAATAAAGAAATAAGATGTTGACTGCATAACTGAGATAAAAGATGAAATATCGGTATACTCTACAATCAATAAACGTATACTGTATTGTTAAAAACAGTTCATTAGACTATGGAAGATATTAGGATCACAATATTGTTGAATATATCTCATACTCAACCACATTCTTACGTTGATGAGTTATTCAGCGAATTGAAGATAGAATGAAAATAGATAAGCCTACAGTGAATAAGCACAATTTATGATAATTTAGCAATATTCATCTCATATGTTATTGCTTAAAAAATGAATGATACATCTTGCTGTTAAACAACAATCACTTTTGAATGGTAAGACATAAGTTGACTATAAATAAGTAAACTGAAGATTTATAAATATATTTAAAAAATGACTGCCTCGGAATAACTATTATGTACAAGCGCGTTAGACACATAAAATAATTTCATACAAGTTCTACAGTGTTCCTTTCTCCTTGGATAGTTTCTTCATGTTGCCTATAGTCATCTATCTTATGTTCAAACTTCAATGTGCTATTTAACATCTACTCTTGTCTCATTCTCTATAGTGCTTGTCGTCATGTGCGCAATAGATTAAGATGAAGACTTGTGGCTCTGGTAGACGTTTATGGTGTTGTGTTTTCCTGGATTCCATTGCTAGCCACTGTCAGTCAGATAAACAGTCATTCGAAGAGAAAGATCTTGAAATGTCTCTCTTTGATTTTTACAGGCACTTTTTTATGGGCTTACTCTTAAAAGAGCACCCACCCCCACATGAATGCTTCACAATGATACACACAGTCCCTCAATATTGTACAAAGGGAATTCGCATACGCCTTCTGTGCATAGCTGTAACATTACCTATTCGGGATCTGAAACCTGACCTCTGCATTCAAAAGCACTACATACATTCCCTTGCCCTACCGTGGCCAGAGTAAAGTTCTTACTATAATTTTGCTTCTTTTTATATTATCCCATGAAAACGAATCGTCGAAAAGAAAATTTTCTTTTCTGTTTTCGTCTTTTTCTTATGACTCAATATGGGAATATTTTGTTCATTGAAGAAACAAGGAAATATTTATAAAATTTCAGTGCATTGGAGAACCCACTAACTGACTGAGTTTCTAAGTAGAAATTTGCATAGAATTTTAGCAATTTCAGTTGCTACAATCAATGGAGAATTGGGGGTTTGGGTGGACGGACGGAAAGCATGTCGCAGACGAATATTTTATACAGTATCAACCACTGATTTCAACCCAATCTAACTAAAGTGGATTAGTTAGTAAATATGAGACAATAGTTTATGTCTGAATATCTGGTACAGTGAATCACGAAAATAAAATATGCCATCGAAAACGTATATTCAAACACTGTGATCTTACATGTATAAAGAAATAAGACAAACATTTTTTAAAACGCCAGTTTTAAACTCTTTAAGATTCTGCTGATTAGAGTATAACAGTTTATATATCTCGACTTTTTTAAATAAAATCTTGATAAACGTAATTTAAAATTAATACAATTCTGTTTTTTCACACATTTATTAGGTATGTCTTCTTCACTTCGTGGAATGATGAAACCACAGAATATAAAACAAATCATTTGGACTGCTACAATCAGTACCTTTGTAGATTTCGATTGGAATAGCCAAGAACAAGCGAACAGACTATTCATTACTGCTATAATTGTTGGTGTAGTCATGATTAGTTGTATCGGTGTAGTTGATTTAGGTGGGAAAATTTTAAAAATGCTTTACATCAACCCAGCTGTTTCATTATCTGATATTCAAAGATGGCGAAGTAGTCAGAAGTTAACTCATGAAAAAGAATTGAAGAATTATGATCAAAATTCTGAAAATATTATTTTAATATCACCTCAACCTGCACCAGTTATCCCTTGGCCTTCAGATTTATTATTCAATGTAAATGGCAAACTAAAAACTACTCAGTCGAATTCTAATCCAACGTGTAGGCAAACATCAAGTCCAGGATCTTCTGTATCTATCCTCAAAGAACCAGAAGCTCAACTTCCGTTGACTGCCTTTTACTTAGACTCTAATATTGTTTTTACACCAACTAGTACACCACAAATTTACAATACCAGTAAACCTATTCAACTTGATGATGTATCACATTCCATACCTCTATTAATTGCTCATTCTCCATCATCTACCCCAATTATTGCACTGAAAACTGATCCATTATCTTCCACAAATCAACTCTCAGGAGTATTGTATGGGAAAACATGAATTATGATGTAAATGTTAGCGTTTCATTTATTTACTTGTAAAAGTTTTATGGACCAAATTATGTGTAAATTAATTCCAGTTTCCTTTCCAGTATTGTCGTGTAAATATTCTAAATGTTAATCCCAAATATTTTTATTGTGTACTGCATAATGTAAAATTATATGAAATATTAGGTTACTGGATCAGACACTTGTACATAAGAACTTGTATGCCGAGTTTGTAGCAATAAATAAAATGAATTCGTTTAAAAAAATACAAAGATTTTCAAAAGAAACCATAAAATTTGCTTCTCCATGAAGTATTCTATTCGCTCAAGATAAATATAAAGCACTGGAAGTGATCATATTTATAAAATCCTAAAGAGAGGCAGACATAATACTGGTCCCATGGTCGTATTTATTTGGTGACTACTTTAAACTAAGCGTTATTAGTGACAAAAAAACAACTATTTCTTCCAAACTCAAATATAACTTTCAATTTCATCATGAATTGATATAAGTTAGACAACCACCGAAAACGAGGGACCAATGGACAGGTGTTTCGTCTTAGTTCGCGAATCTTCTTCAGTACGCAACCGTGAAATCCCCATGGGTCAAACTCAGAACCTATAGGTTTGGTGTGAGGATAAATACTGGCAAACGACATTGACTAGCAGTGACAGTAAAACTCGCTAATTGACAGAAGTTAGAAGTGATGGGTTATTGGCTGAATAGTCAATAAAGTCATCTAGTAACTCGAAGGCAAGTGCTGCTGAAGAATCACAAACTAGGGCAAACTAGCTGTCGAGCGACCATTGGTTCTTTAACTGATATCAATCTGTGATTAAACTTGGAACCCATCAAAGTCTTACTAACACTTGAAAATCAGTCGTAAGTATAATTGAATTCGTCAAGGTTCCTCAAAAGTTAAACCAACCATTTCATTCTCACTGAATTCTGTTGAAACACAGAAAAGATTGCGGATTAATGAGAATAAAACACAGGAAACCATGCTGAGACACAGTGAATAACGCAGTAACTGATAGCTTTTAACTAGAGATTGCCTAAATTCAGTAAAGATATTTGAATTTATTTTTAGTTTCAACTAGACTCCTCCCTTTAGTAAGATTACGTCCATATTTATTTACGACTAATGTTATAGATTGATATGATGTTAATACAAATGGTAGTTTGCGCTAACGAATTTCCTACATAGTCTATTCGCTAGCCTACTGTTCTAATCACTATTAGCAACAATAACGACACGATATGATACTAACGGAACTGCAACGCGAGAAGACAAGGAAAGAAGACAGATCGCTGACTCAGAGAGCTTTTACTGCCTCGTATCAATAGCGAAAATGGTTGACAGCAATTGCGTATATATGTACTTTGAATGACCTTGAGAGGCACTAATTACATTGGTAAGTTAAAACAGTCAACGACTAATAGGGTTCCTGGGTCATAAGTGGGGGAGGGAAATGTGAACAGCAGTGTAAAGAAAGATATAGCACTTTAGGAAAATTAGGTGTATATAACATAAATATTCTCAGATTTAGTATAATCTTAACTGTATTCAACAGGAAACCTACAACATGTCAGTACACTCATTTTTTTGAGTTTTGTACCTTTGAAATATAAACGTAACCTGGTAAAGTGTCTGGTTCATAGAGCTAGGTTAATCTGTTTAGACGACTGCCTCAATGAGGAGCTTAAGATTATTAGGGAATTAGTTGGAAAAAATGGTTATCCAGATAAATTCATTGAGAAAAATATGAATTCAGCACCTAGGAGAGTCAGTATGACAACAGTTCCGAAAAAACAATGTTTATAAAACTGCAGCTCCTCGGTGACAACATCGGCGCAGTAATAACACAGCGCCTGAAGAATGCGGTTAAAAGAGCTTATTATGCAGCAGAGGTACGTTGTCTCTTCACAACAACTCCTGTTCTACGTCCGAGAAATAAGGATAAACAACCTAAATTTGCCACTTCTATGTGTATCTACCAGTTTGACTGCAGCTGCGGAGCCAGCTACATTGGGCGTACAATTAGGCAGGTTCATCATCATATTTCCGATCATCCAACATAGTTAAGCAAGAGACAAACAAGATCTTTTCGTAGATCTATTGTAGCACACCTTGTAGAAAGTGAGCATAAGATTGATATTAATACTGCATTTAAAATTATTTATCGCATTCCTACTAATCTTAATTTTGCTCTACGAGTTCATCTTCTACATACGACAGCTGAAGCAATAGGAATCCACCTGAAGAAGAAGCCAAACCTGTGTGTGTTCAGAAGAAATTTGTACAGCCACTTTCCTTACCTTGGCCATCGTTACATGAATGTATAAGCCGGACTACTTCGACCCCCTCCCCGTAAACCTTTTAAATTATTAAAATTATAATTGTGCAAATTATTTTATTTTTTCTGTACACTTCATCTTTAATTACGTGTTATTCCTGTAAAATTAATTTATTCTAACCATTTCTACCTTTTAAATGTGCATTGATTTTCTTCGTTAATTATCAACCCATTGACATTTTGAAACTCACTAATTATTGTTAACAAACATATCGCCACTTGATTGGTAAACTGTTGTGTATTGTAATAAAAATGCTGTACGTGTATATTAGAGTATAGCCAGAGATGAGGATCTAATTGAAAAGTAAATATTTCTTCGCTCAATCTTTCTGTTTTCTAAATGTCTAAATGTGGATTTTTTCTATATTCAATATTATTGTGTGGAAATGATTGAATTCCGGACTGGGATTCTCATTATTCCTTTCCGTACATGACTGTTTCAGTAGATGTTAATGTAAATTTATCTTTTATTTTATTTAAAGTAAATAAATGGAATGACAAAGGATTAATGAACCTAGAAATGAATATTTGCGTAAAACGTGCGAAACTACTTATTAGCTTTCGAAAGTAGTTTGAATTTTTAAGAGAAGATTTACCAGCAGGTAATGGTCGTATAGTATGGGTATAAATTGGCGCTTATGTAAATATGCGGAAGTTCATGTGCCTTCATAAGGCCTTCTTATATTCATAAACTATACTCAAGCGTTTGTTTGTAGGGATTTGATTGGTTACAGGATTTCATCATGAGCTGACATTAGTTAGAGAAACACTGGAAAACCTGGGAGTACTGGACAGCTGTTTCGGCCTAGTTTGGGGCTCTTCATTGGTACGCGCCCACCGGGATTTGAACCCAGGACCTTCTGGTTACAAGGCGAGCTCGTATAGCATTAAGCCACTAGGACCCGATCCAATGGCCCATGGATTCTAACTTCTGCCAATTCACGACATAGTGCGACCCCTAGCCAATGTCTTCGGCGAGTATTCGTCGTCACAGCCGACCTGCTGCACCCTACTGGTCACGACTTCTCACTAGAACCCCGGGCAACTACCTACCTGGATAGGGAAGTCATAAACTATAGTTCACAGAGTGTATAAACAAAAGCATATAAAGCTACATTTTTATAGTATTCTTTTGGGATAAATATATCTGACCAGGTTACATTCAACACTTTAAATAATAGAATAGCTGTCAAGATCTGCAGTACATTCAGTTAGGGTAGTCAAGAAAATGATCCGAATAAAAGCTTCCTATTATGTGACATTTTTACTGTCCACTTAGCTTTTGAAGGGACATGTATAAGTATTTGGTAAAAAATAAAGTCAAGATACTTTAAAGCTTACATTTTAATAACTAAGTCAGGAAGTTATCACGCAGATATATACATGTATTATTATTATTTCTCTACCCTAATCGTTAAGATGTCTAAAATTTTAAATAACATGACCAAATGATAAACTTTATCTCTCATGACTTAACTGGACTGATGAATAAACCTGTTGCTACTTTTTTATGTCTGAGCTTGTTAATTACTATTGGTGGTAATGAACTCGACTGGTACACTAATACGTCTATTTGTTCGTTGTACCTTGAGATTCACTTAGCCACACAAATATCAAAAGACAAAGGCTGCCCTGTGACTATTGTACATCTGTTAGAAAACAAAACATCATATTAATATATTTCATTTATCACAATATAGTCGGCTCACTACCGTGAAAATGGACTGATCTTATTAGCTGGAAATGTCTATTCTGATTGGTTGTGATCCGACAAAGGCCAAGGTGAGACAAAAGAAGATGAATTGATCACACTTTAAATCACAGTATACGTGAGAAATGATAGATCAACATAGTAACTCCATCACAAGATAAATCACATGATTCTCGAGAAAGGATTGTTTACTATTTTATGCTGGGTCCTATCATTATCATTTGCTATACTCTTAATTGGAACCTGAATGGTAAGTTGTTATTCGGACATTTGAAGGTGACACGCAGATCACGTGACGAGCAAGTGAAAGCTTTTGCGCATTCATGCAGCCATTTGTAAATGATGTCCGATAAATGTATACAATCAACATGTAACACTGAACCCCACTGTTCCACTCAGCACGTAAAAATGTATAATAAATGACTCACTTTAATTTTTAATACATATAGAAAAGAAAACGGAATCTGAAATTTACTTCGATAGTTAGTCTTTTCGTGAATTATATTTTCAATACCCGACAATAAATACGTCAGACTATTGAAACTTTTATGTTGTCAAGCATGAACTACTGTATTTAAAGAAGAAATATTTCCAGTCTCTCATTTTATCATGAACTCGGATTCCCTCTACCTTCTTGATTTATTCATGGGTTATTTATTAATTAATTATTGTAACTCCGTTAATTTCATTTTTCACCTTTCTCTACTTCTGTAAATAGAAGACAAAACCATCCATTTTATGAAGTTAGAGCTATCTGATCCACTTATTCAGCCGCTATGAAGACACGCACACACTCACAAATGCTCTGAGACAACTAAATAGTTATTATTCTATTCCAAGCGTTGGTCTACATTCAGACCTCAATTCTGTCTTCTTGAATTCTATGCTTCATTCGATTTCCATCATCAATTAATGAATTACTATGTAGTATCTTTTTCATCTACTGAAGTTTCTGCTTCAATAGTGAATATTAGCTTTGTTAATACTGAATATAAGCATCGTTTTACAGTTTCAGATGACTACGCATAAAAAGAGCGTTTTTCTCGGCTGAATTTCTGCATTCTTCTGTCGATACTATAAATGTACAGCTATGAAAACGACCCAATCTTACGAAATAAAATTTTATCGACAATCAGTTATTTATGTACTTATTTAGGCAAGCACCTAGTTAATTGTTGTTGATATCCATCCATTCACAATTAGTGATTAAGGGCTTCACGTTAATTATCTTAATCGGTAAAATAAGATGAACATTTAGGAGAAGTAATCCGAAAGTGTGTTTGAAAAATTATTGTCAGTCTTCTTTTTGTTGAAATGTTAACTGAATATAAAAGGACTGATTATTAAAGAGACGAAATTCGATTAAATTTAAAACGAGACAGTAGCACCAACTTAACAGTCATCTACAACTTATTTGACTGGATAGAAGTTTCCATCTACAAACTGCAAAATTATCTTATACACTAATATTTCTTCATCATAATA